GGTGCAGCTGAGAGCGGACTTCGTAGCTCCACCTCCACGGATCCCGCGCGAGCGAGTCGCTGATCACGCGCGAGCAGTCGGCAAGCAGCGCCTGGTGATAATAGTCGGCTGTTGCATACGCCCACACCGTGTTGGCCAGCTCCTGCGGCTTGAAGCCAGCCAGCCCGCCGCGCACCGCCGCCTCCGCCACCGCCGCGTACAGCGCGTCCGCAGCCACGCCCGCCGTCGCATACGCCCACACCGTGTTGGCCAGCTCCTGCGGCTTGAAGCCAGCCAGCCCGCCGCGCACCGCCGCCTCCGCCACCGCCGCGTACAGCGCGTCCGCAGCCACGCCCGCCGTCGCATACGCCCACACCGTGTTGGCCAGCTCCTGCGGCTTGAAGCCAACCAGCCCGCCGCGCACCGCCGCCTCCGCCACCGCCGCGTACAGCGCGTCCGCAGCCACGCCCGCCGTCGCATACGCCCACACCGTGTTGGCCAGCTCCTGCGGCTTGAAGCCAGCCAGCCCGCCGCGCACCGCCGCCTCCGCCACCGCCGCGTACAGCGCGTCCGCAGCCACGCCCGCCGTCGCATACGCCCACACCGTGTTGGACAGGGCCTGCGGCTTGAAGCCAGCCAGCCCGCCGCGCACCGCCGCCTCCGCCACCGCTACGAACAACGGGTGCACCACCCTCGCCTGCAGGCCGCACCTTGCAACGCCGTGAGACACGTTGGCCAGCTCGCGTGCTCGGCACGAAGAAACCAGGTCGAGCGTGCGCTGCACCAGCTGCTCAAGCCGCCCCTCGTGCCGCCGCTCGATGCGCTGCTTGCCCAGTTTGTTCCACAGGTTCGCAGCGTGGATGTGGTTCAAGATCGCGCTGTGGGCAGCAAAGAGCCTGAGCAGCTCGTCGGCGCCGCTGGCATGCGAGATACGGCCGCTGAGCTGCTTAGCATCGAGCTGACCTCCGGCAGCAGAGGTGTGCCTCTCGTCGCGCGATCCCGCACCACGCATCGGCGGACTCATCCGGCGGTCGCTGTGCTGAGGCTGCCACTCGACGCGGCGGTCGCGCCGGTCATGGTCGCGCCTGGGATCGTGGGACCGATCATCGCGCCGATCGTACAAGTCGCGCTAGCGCTCGCATATGCTTGGTCGGTCGTTGCAGTCGCGCCGCTCAACGTGCCGCCCGTCATGATGCGGCCGTCGTTCGCCTCGCAATGGCTCGTCGCGCCAGCGCTCAGCTGCGTGTGGCTCAGCGTGCCATCGCTGCTCGCGGCCACTGCACCAAGAGTCGTTGTAGCCGCGCCGCTCGTCATGCCGCCCGTCAGTGTGCGGCTCTCCTTGCCAACGCTCGTTGCGCCGTCGCATCTCATCCCGCCGCGGCTCATCGCGCGATCGCGACCGCCGTCGCGGCTCGCCCCGCCATCGCCGCTCTTCGCGTCCGTACTCGGCGCGCTGTTGCTCATCACGCCAGCGACGCTCCTCGCCCCAATAGGCGTCGCCTACAGCAATGAAGCGTAGCTCCTTCTGACGCTGCTTTCTTTGTCTACCTTCGCGCTCGAGGACATTTCATTTTTAATTTTATTTACGAGGTGTCCGCGGCCCACTTTGTGCCCGCGCTCTGACCGACAGTGACTGACCGCCGCAAAAAACCAAAACTCTCTCTCTCCGCCGCAAAAGCCCCCTGTGGTCGAAGGCTAGGTGGCGTGCCCCCCGGCACGAAGACTGGTCCGCCGTGTAGACGATGGGCTCTCCGACCCCGCGGCTGCCTGTCGGGTAGATGACGACAGCTCGGTTGTCCGCTAGCGCCGAGATCATGAGGGCTGTCATCTCCGCGGCGGGCAGCGTGCCGTCGAGCTACATGAGACCCAAGCAAGTCGTCGTGATGTACCAGAAAACGAAACTAGCGCCAAAATTGTGACCCCAGGATCGACATTAATTTCTCGCGCCTACTTTCGCTGCTTGAGACTCGCCAAATAGATCCTGCGTCTATGACCGTGTGCAACGTCAAGTCGTGAACCGCGACAAGACCATCGCGCCAAGCGCGACTCTGTTGCTTTATGCGGCAGCATTCACCGTGACTCTTGCCGTGGATGGTGAGTGACCGCGGTTGCTTACGCAATACTACGCCGTGAGCTGAGCTTCACCAGCCGCTTCTCTTCCTTCCTTGCCTTCTCTTGCCGTCCGTTCTCTGTGCGCATTCCACTGCATGCGGCATCACACGCGTCTTCTGCCGGGCGCGCATCTGAACTCGTACCAGGTAGGCCATCGCTTTGCTGAGAGAGATCAGGCGCCTGAATGGCGACAGTGAGCGTCTCCTACTTATGGATTGCGCTCGAGGATGGTCCGAGGAGCGCAAGAGCGCGCCGCAGGCGAAGCGATTTTTTGGTGGCAGGCTCTTCCAGTTTATCTTGTGATCACGCTCGAGCCTGTGAATAGGCCCCGGAGGCCTCAACCCTCAACTAAAGGGTTGAGGGGGGGTCTCAACCGTCAACCAGATGGTTGCAAACCGGGGACCACTCCACCACAGACAGGCCCGCTACCCTCGCCGCCTTCGTGACGCAGCTGCAGTGGGCGACGCGAGAGCTGAAGGGAGCTGAGATCGAGGGCTCAGATCAGCTTAGTTGTTTGCCTACGAGAGGGAGACGTACTGCTGCAATGCAAGGAGCGTCTGCTCTCTCATGCCTGAAGCGAGGTGGAGGCGCGGGACGTCTAGGGGCTCTCGTCGTAGAGGCTGATCCCACTCGTAACCTGTACCCAAAGAGTTCGCATCGCAG